TGCTATCAATATTTAGTGGATGAGACAAATGATAAATCTACTGTGTTTAGAATGAAAATTGGGTCTCCAGAGGCGTTTACGATCCTATAATACTTAACAAGAGGCCCAGGAGCCACATCGCTCACCTGAGCAATTGGTTAGGAAAAAGCACATATCAGAACTGAAAGTTTACTGAGGTGAGAGGGGGAGGGGGGGGCTTGAATTTTACTACCCAGGGGGTCATGGTTTGAACAAACTAGAATCTACATTACATGAGGATGATTCCCTATGAATATCACTAAGCATGGCTTTGAATACTTGAAAAGAATTTTAGATTTTTAAAGATTTTTCCTATATATTCCTATGTAAAACTTTGATCGGCCATTTTCGGCCCATCCTACCCCCGGGGGTCATGATTTGAACAAATTTGAATCTACACTACCTGAAGATGATTCCACATGAGTTTCATCTTTCCTGTCTCAATGGTTCTTGAGAAGAAGATTTTTAAATATTTTTCCTATATATTCCTATGTAAAACTTTGACCGGCCATTTTGGCCCTACCCTACCTCTGGGGGTCATGATTTGAACAAACTTGAATCTACACAACCTGAGAATGATTTCACATGAGTTTCATCTTTCCTGGCCCAGTGGTTCTTGAAAAGATTTTTTAAAAATGCCATTAATTTTTCTCTAATTCATAATTATCTCCCCTTGGAAAAGGGCATGGCCCTTCATTTGAACAAACTTGAATCCCCTTTACCCAAGGATACTTTGTAGCAAGTTTGGTTGAAATTGGCCCAGTGGTTCTAGAGAAGAAGATGAAAATGTGAAAAGTTTACAACGACAACAACGACGACGACGACAACAACAACAACGACAGACAACGGACAAATTTTGATCAGAAAAACTCACTTGAGCCTTCGGCTCAGGTGAGCTAATAAAGCAGTCAAGTTGATACAGCAAAAGTTTTTTTTAAGGGGAAAAACTGTTCTTCATAGGAAGAGATAAGGTTAGACAATAAAAACTAAATTCAATTAAGCTCATCTGTATCAACTGAAAATCTTTGAAATGGATTACAAAGGTGTTCTGAATATCTTATAGCTCAAAAGAGTTCACATAAACAAAAACAGTGACCTTGGACTAGACTACATATTAAGTTGATCTAAAACTATTAATTTAACATTTTTTTGTAATGCACAGGTTCTTGACATTCTTAAAAAAGTGTACCAGGCATTTGAGCAAGAGAAGACACAGGGAAGGGTAAAAAACATTTCCAACCCTCTGAAGAGACTTTCCACAGCAACAGGTATGAAATATGACACAAAGACTCTGCTACTGATACAGACAGATATCTGTAATAATGGACCTTTACACCAAATATCCAGAATACAAGACCAAAAAATCTAATGTTAATTCTGAAAAAGAAAATCTTTAGTTATTTAAGTCAAACAAGAGGCCCATGGGCCATATTGCTCACATGAGCACTCTATTTAGATAAAGCAATATTTAGTTCAGAATTGACAAGTATATTAAAGGGTATATACATATGTTATCTCATCATACCCTAAGGATCCTCAAGTTGGGTTGAAATTGAGTTAACTGACACAATGTTTCTAGAGAAAAATATTCAATAGTGAAATGTTTATGATGTATAGTGCTGACAACAATGAAAATGACAGACCCATTTTGATCAGAAAAGCTTATTTAAACCATTGACTATAGTGAGCTTATATTTTCTTGCTTTTATAACATTAAAACATATTGTGAGATTATATAAAAAAAAAATGACAGAGTGACAGAGTTATCTGTTCTCTGCTTACACAGTAAGTCATTTTACATTTAAGAAATAAAAAAAAAACATAGTCCGTGCATTGTATCCTCTGATACATGAAGTACATAAATCTTTTAATATATTTTACTATAGGAATATCTGAAAGAACTCTAAAGGCAAATCTCCTGTCTGATCCAGTGACAACTGTGGTTGAGGATCTGCAAGTCCCTCCTGTACAGCAGAAGATCCACTCCAATAAGGGGCTCGATGACTTCGATGAGGACCTAGTGAAAAGGACCATCCATGAGATGCAGTTGAAGCGCGAGTATGTTTCTCTCCGTCGACTGTCAGATGTGTTGGTAGAAAGAGGATCAGGATCACCAAATCATCATTGGCAAGACTCGTGAAGAAACTTGGATTCAGGTAGGAATCAATTGGAAAAATATAACCTACAAATAAAGCATATAATTTTCAAAATTACATGTATTTATTAAATACACTTATTGACTGGATTCAAGGCCAGCATGCAATTTGTTGGACCTACAGGGTGAAAAAAAAGCATGTCCGTTTCGGACCCAGTCAATAAATAATGTTATACAAAATTGCACCTTTCATTATATTATCATTGTCCAATATCTTGCTCCGCAATCAAACATTGATTTTACATTACTGCTCAGTAAACAAAGGAAATGTTAGACTTTTTCTGGTATAGATTTATATAAGAACAAATTTTAAAGTATAATAAAAATAAGCATTGTTTGCATGCTTAACAAGAGGCCTATGGGCCACATCACTCACCTTAGCACTGTGGCTGGGAAGAAAAGCAAAAGTCAATTCAGTATTGAAAAGCTTAAATGCATATCCCAATAATAAGGAGGGGGATATGGTTTGAATTAATACCTTGAATCTACACAAACTAAGAATGCTCACATATTTCTTTGACATAATGTGGCTTTTTCTCCCTAAAATTTGAACTTTTATTTTGGCCCCACCCTTCCCCCAGGGTCAGGATTTGAATAAACTTTAATCTTCACTACCCGAGGATGCTTCCACATTAATTTAGTTTCATCTTTCCTGATCCAGTAATTCTTGGGAAGGTTTTTTAAACATGCCACCTAATTTTAACTATTTCTGAATTATCTCCCCTTGAAAGAGGGCATTTCCCTTCATTTGAACAAACTTGAATCTTCTTCACCCAAGGATGTTTTGTGGCAGGTGTTATTGAATTTGGCAGATTTACAGACGGACAGATATACAGGACTTCAGAACAAATGTGAAAAGCTTACTTAACTTTATCACCTTTGCACCTTTGTAACAAACATTTTTCTTTTTCTTTCAGATTCTACAAGTCTGGTTCAGATCGGAGGTTTATTGGTGAGCGTAATGACATTGTCAGTATGCGCCAAACTTACCTGAGGTCCATCCGAAACTTTAGAGAGGCGGGTCGTCCTATTGTGTACTTGGATGAGACTTGGCTGAACACCAATCACGTAGCGAGGGGAGATTGGGTGGACTGTCCTAGGACTTCTACCTCTGCCTTTGAGTCACACCGTGAAGGTCATGGGCGCTTCGTCCCACCTGGGAAGGGGTCTCGTCTGATAATTGTGGATGCTGGTTCTTCGGCTGTAGGCATGATCCCGGGATCAAGCCTAGTTTTTGAGTCGAAAACTGGCACTCAGGATTATCATGATGAGATGAACTCGGGAAACTTCACGAGGTGGTTCACTGAGCAGTTGCTCCCTAACCTACCGGGTAATTCAGTCATCGTGATGGATAATGCTTCCTATCACAGTCATCTGGATCCTGAGTCTAAGTGTCCGACATCGTCGGCGCGAAAGGCCGAGATCCAGTCTTGGCTTGATAGAAAGGGTATCCATTACACCCCGGCAATGTTTAAGGCTGAATTACTAACATTGGTGAAGCAGCATAAGCCTCGTCCTAAGTATGTGATTGACGATTTGGCTTCACAGGCAGGTCACACAGTTTTGCGTCTACCTCCTTATCACTGTGAGCTGAATCCCATCGAGCTGGTCTGGGCTGAATTGAAAAGCTTCATCGCCAGGAGCAACGCCACATTTAAGAAAGATAAAGTGATGGAGCTATTCAATCAAGCAAGATCAGCTTACGATGTGGAGAAGTGGAGGAGGGTCGAGAGCCACGTGATAAATGAGGTAGAGACAAAACTGTGGAAACTTGACGGAGTTCAGGATGACGAGGTCGCTCCGGTGATCATTGACTTGACGGACTCCGACGACAGTGACAGTGACTTAGACTCAGATTTTGGTGATGACGAAAGTGACGCTGACTCTGACGTTTCCATGAACTCCGTCGAGGAATCTGATGATGAAGTCACTTGTTGCATATGTGGTGACTATAATGCTCCTGGACGGTCACGAAAGATTGCGTGGGTGGAGTGTGAGTTGTGTAAGAGGTGGAGTCACCGCATATGCACCAAACCCTCTCTAAAGTCAGGTAAGTGCCTCCGATGTTGAAACAGTTTGTACGGACTGAATCCGCTTTCTTCATGAGTCTTCCTCTGATGATTGGTGAACTGTTCCTCTTTAAAGGTAAACGAAAGATTATTAATCATTAATTGATGCATGTATCACTTAGTGTTGGATTATAGATTTACATATAGGTATTCACATTTGAGAAAAATAAGCCATTGCAGTAAATGCTAAGAATTCAGTAAAATTTTGACATTGTTTGAATGTTCATAAATAGATGAGAGTGCACTGATTTCAAAGAAAAATTTAATTAGCAGACACAAATCTTTGTATCAGTTATTGATTTCAATGAATGGAGTTGCTTTTGTTACTAGTTTAATTTGGCAGAAAAACAGACTACACTAAAATACATGATTATTTTTATTGCTGTTGCAATGTTTAAAATCCAGGGGCTACTTTTCTCTGTTTTTGTTTGCCAGAACAAACAAGTAGAGCTACAGTCTTATCAAATACTTCTGGTTTCGATGTGTGACACATCTTCTATCCAATATTTAAGCTGACAAAATTTAATCATGCAATTTAAAATTAAATATTTGAATACTAAATAAATAAGGAACAAATTTATTAGACATCCAATTTATATATGTAAACTGTTTATAACATATAAATTGGGTAGCTATTTAATTCATTCCTTATATTTTTTTCATTCATCAAATGTGAGGAAAAAAGATGACTGCCTTGAAAATAATTTCAAATTTAAAAAAAATTAAATGTTCTGTTAGGCGAATCGATACATTTTTTTATGCAACTCATTGGAACATAGGCAATCTAATTTTAATGATATAAGGTAATTTTTTATCCATCAATGAAATACCCCTTTATGACCAGAGTCAAACTATTCAAAACTGAAAATATTTAAAGTCTCTTAGGGCAATGAGAACTTATTATATCATTGGTTAATCTATGATACATGCATTGTTTAATGATTAATTTGTCTTTCAAGAGGTGGGACTGTGTGTAACTAATCTTTTTTATGCATCTTAATTATCTACATTCTTGATACTTTACCTTATATTGCTGTAAACACTTTTTTGTCCTTTGGTCAAAATTTCATCAGTATGGATCAGCTATAACTGAAAATAAGGAAGGGCATTACAGATTTGAATCCCTATTGTAGATCCTTGCAAACTTATAAATCTATTAAAAACTTTTTGCACATACATGCTTAGATATGAATTTCATTTTACCCATCTAGTATATAGATATAGAGGTAACCATATCCCGTTAGTAAACTGCAGAAATAAATTTTAATGAACATGTCAATTTCACTGCAACTGGAATGAGTTAAATTTAAAAATACACTCAATGTCAACTGTAATTTATTCTGATCCCTAATAAATTCTACTTTTACCTGTTGCTTTATTTTAGTCATTCCATAGTTCAAATAGAGTACTGCATATGTGAACACAATATACTGCCTGATTATCTGATTAGTTACACACAATGTCCCCCTACCGAACCAACAAACCTGACTTTCGATGAGTGGAGCTGCTCCCCCTCCTCTGTATCTCCTGCATGTTAACTTTTCACAGGCCAGCATTTAGTCTCAGTTCCTTATTGTGATCCACTTCTCCTCTACAATTGGGACTTGCATGATCAATATTATTTTCCATTTCTTATATACACTTTGTAAAATTAATTGCAAGAAAAGTGGTTTTAATTCATGAGATATATTGAATAAATGATACATATTTATTGAATTTATGCATATCTATAAAACCCCTACTGATTTCAAATTTTCCTTTTAACATGACCAATTTACTGTGATTAAACCTACTGTGATATACACTGTATACTGTTTTTTTTTTTAACTTATGTATAAATTAATGGCAAGAAAAACCAGATTAATTTCAGTGATTTTGATTCATGTGTGTATATGTTTTTTGATCATGTTACACTGTTTACTATATTTAAGCTTTAATATAAGAATCATACTATATTTCTATTCAGTTTACTGTGATAAAATCTGCTGTGATAAATGTTATTGTTTAACTTAATATGTACATGTAGTACATTTGAACATATGAATTGTAATAGCAAGAAATGGTATAATCACTTGATTATTTACATTTTTTATTCAATATTTTATATTTTCACTCTACAAATTATGCACTTAAGCACTCTACGTGATAAAAACGTTGCCGTGATTATTGGTTTAACTTAATATCTAAATACTCTACTTTTACAATTTAGTGTCCCACTTCTACCATATACTCTGTATCAGTGATTGTTCTATATCTGAAAGATGCATATTTGTGTTCTATTACCAAAAATGTTTACATATTGTGAAAAAAATGTTGCTGTTATATACCCTCTTTTTTTATTTATTTTTTTTATCTTCAAATTCACCATATTTAGACTTACTGCTACTTATCAACTGACTCTAAGTGCTGTAGTTGCTATAGTTTCATACAGACATATAACTTGCTTATTCAATGCTTTTGTGCCCAAAATACACCTTAAAACATTTTATTATGACTGTATGTTTGCATTATGGATATATCATGTATTACTTAAGGTTCTTTCAACCAAACATTGAATGTGTACAACAAAGGTGTGGGTTTGAAATGCACTACTACATAGAGCTAGTTAAAAAAAAAAAAAAAAAAATATATATATATATATATATATATATATATATATATATATATATATATATATATGTATATGTATATATATATATATATATATATATATATATATATACAACAAACTAGTTATAAAGTTTGTAGTCAAGCACAGCAGTACCTTACTGCATACAATAAAGTTATACTTTTACATACATATGCTGAGTCCATTTTTACATGGACCCATGGATGTCATATGATTACAGTGGTTACATTCAGTACATATCTCAATGTTGGTTTACATGATATGGAGTCACTGGCACGACAGAGATGTCTGTAAACTTCCGTCTTTGTGACATTACCTAAATGCTTACATACAGGGCAAGATATTTAAGGAATTCCCCAAATATCTTAATTTCATATTACATAAAGCAAGTAGTGTCTGTGATTAAAATACTATAGGAAAGTTTCAAATGTTTGTCTGAATTATTTGTATTGATTTCTTTGATGAGCATAATATGTATTGTATTCATGCAGTGAATCACTGGGTTTTTTTATGGGATGACACTATACAAACTTCAGTCACTAAAGAATTTCTGAAATTTTCATTAATATTAATCCTCAGACTGTTACATGTATACCGGGTAGTTAAGAAAAACTAAAATTCTGCAATGATTTTTTAAATATAATATTTACTTTGTGATAATAAGTTATTAATCCACACCATATGATACCAACAATATTGATGTTGAAAAGAATTTATTGCAATATGAGTTATTGATTCATTCTGTTATGTGTGTTCATCTTACATGTAATGATGCAGATTTTCTAAAATTTTTGAAATAAATTCTTTGTGCATTCCATAAATATATTGTTTTCCTTTCGAAAATATTTTAAGAAGTTTTATGATTGAAATAAGAAATCTCATATCCCTAGACAATATGCTGCATAATGCATTATAATGAAAAGTCATATTATATACAGCTATACTTATCTTGTTTGACAAGATATGAAAAGTATGCATGGGTAAAAAAAGATACCTTCAAATAAAGTGAAAGTTTATCCTAACAGCGATGTCCATCAAAGGTGTGGCACCTGTTGAAGTCTCCTCAGCTGTAAATATGTCAATATTAAAGCTGAACTTTGACTTTATGAGGGTAAAAATATGTTTGCTCCCTGTAACAGTAAACCAATCAACTCAATCAATATATATGCAACTTTTACACAGTACTATAATCATGATAATTTAAATTTAACGCATTCTCAGGGTACATGTACATATAGAGGTAGCATCAGTAAACCCTGTTAATGTGGGTAGCATATGTGACCTGTATGTACACAATAAATTAATCTCTTTTTTATTTTTTAGCTTTTATGAAAGTTGATTTTAACTGATTTAAAGTAATTGACTTCAGCATATTTTAATTGACTGGGAGAATGTTTGTGAAATATGCTGTATTAAACATTCCATGTCTTGGGTTTTCTATATATCATATATATAAGCAAAATAAATAAATATTTAAAAAAAAATAAACAAAGAATTTTTAAAAGAAATCAGGAAAGAAATTTGAGTGCCAAAATATTGGTAATTTATATAGAAAATAGCATATTAGATACTTAGGGTAATTTTTTAGACATAAACAGTCTAATAAATGGATTTTCATGCACTATACATCTACAGCTAATTGGTGTAGAGTTAAAAGCGAAAGTAGACTTGTTAATGAAAAATTACAATTTTCTAACACAAATAGAAAGTCGGCATTGCTTTCCTAAATGTTATCCCTTTTCCTGTGTAGCTCTTTAAGCCAACTGATATGGTCAAATCAGTTCATTCATCAATGTTAGCCCGTAAACCGTTATATAGCTGTTACATATAGGCTGCATACCGTCTATAATGTAGGTCACTGTATTTCTGTTGTCTATAGCCAATACGGACGCGTGTGAACAATGCATTTAGGCATACTCTATCATAAAACTTAATATACATCTTCAATGAACGTCTGAACAGCAGTAGATAACAAAATTAACATTTAAAAACTTACCTTTCTGAACCATGGATGGTTCAACAGCCCGCCATATGAGGAATGAGTGCGTCCATAAGATGCACTGTTTCATATTCGGAGTATTCCCTCATTTATCACGATAAAACTCGCTGAAATATTGCTGAATAATGTGTATTTCTCATATTTGTATTAAAAACACGTTTATTTCATTTCTTTCTATTTAATTTTATTTTTTGAATTTTTCCTTTGGAAAGAACGACTACTCCCTTCGAAAACTGGTTCCCGGCCCCGTAATTCAGACGCTAATGGACGAGTTTACCATGTTAAATCCCCGTAGACTTTGAATTTGCCGCCGTGTGTTTACACCGGTTGACCTCGAGGGTTCGTATAAATGCAGAAAGTTTGGAAAAAAATCAATCTACCAATCGGACATAGGTTGAAAGCCAAGGTATTTATTTATTTTGAGATATTTTGCAAAAAGTAGTGACGTTCCGGTCGTGGGACAGACTATAATATTTATTTTATATAGATAAAACTTCGTTTTATTTTTGTTGCTTTATTTAGCGTTTGTATTATCTCAAAAGCGGTTGAGAGTAAGAACTATAGTTTTGCACGTAACTTTAAAATGGCGACTATGGGGTCAACATCCTGCCTTGAACAGGATCACATAAGCCGGCAATTGCTCTCTGAGCAATAAGCCCGGCTAAAAATTAGTTTAGACCATACGCGACTGTGTCTATCAACCAGAAGTCTCTGTCGAGACTGTAGCTCTACTGGTTTGTACTTATCAAAAACCATTGCACTATTTTATGTATCTTTGTGTAGTCTACTTGTGTGCCAACTTAGTTTGAAATCACTAAAACTGTAGAAGGAGTAGAGTTTGAAAGGAATTTCACAGAAAATTTTATTTTTAGTAACCATGGCAACACCGTTCATCAAAATAAAAAACCGATGCACTATTTAATGTATCTTAGTGTAGTCTACTTGTATGCCAAGTTATATTGAAATCAGACCAAAACTGTAGAAGGCGTAGCGTTTTTAAGGAATTTCACAGAAAATTCTATTTTTAGTAACCATGGCAACACCGTTCATCGAAATCAAAAACCGATGCACTATTCTATGTATCTTAGTGTAGTCTACTTGTGTGCCAAGTTATATTGAAATCAGACCAAAACTGTAGAAGGAGTAGCGTTTTTAAGGAATTTCACAGAAAATTCTATTTTTAGTAACCATGGCAACACCGCACATCGAAATCAAAAAACCGATGCACTATTCTATGGATCTTAGTGTAGTCTACTTGTGTGCCAAGTTATATTGAATTCAGATCAAAACTGTAGAAGGAGTAGAGTTTTTAAGGAATTTCACAGAAAATTTTATTTTTAGTAACCATGGTAACACCTTTCATCAAAATCAAAAACCGATGCACTATTCTATGGATCTTAGTGTAGTCTACTTGTATGCCAAGTTATATTGAAATCAGACCAAAACTGTAGAAGGAGTAGCGTTTTAAAGGAATTTCACAAAAAATTCTATTTTTAGTAACCATGGCAACACCGTTCATCGAAAACAAAAACCGATGCACTATTCTACGTATCGTAGTGTAGTCTACTTGTGTGCCAAGTTATATTGAAATCAGACCAAAACTGTAGAAGGAGTAGCGTTTTTAAGGAATTTCACAGAAAATTCTATTTTTAGTAACCATGGCAACACCGTTCATCGAAATCAAAAACCGATGCACTATTCTATGTATCTTAGTGTAGTCTACTTGTGTGCCAAGTTATATTGAAATCAGACCAAAACTGTAGAAGGAGTAGCGTTTTAAAGGAATTTCACAGAAAATTCTATTTTTAGTAACCATGGCAACACCTTTCATCGAAATCAAAAACCGATGCACTATTCAATGTATCTTAGTGTAGTCTGCTTGTGTGCCAAGTTATATTGAAATCAGACCAAAACTGTAGAAGGAGTAGAGTTTTAAAGGAATTTCACAGAAAATTCTATTTTTAGTAACCATGGCAACACCGTTCATCGAAATCAAAAACCGATGCAGTATTCTATGTATCTTAGTGTAGTCTACTTGTGTGCCAAGTTATATTGAAATCAGACTAAAATTGTAGGAGGAGTAGCTTTTTGAAAAATTGTTTACAGACAGACGGACAGACAGACAGACAGACAGACAGACGGACGGACGCCGGACGCATTACTTTCGCATAAGCTCTTCTGGTCTCTGACCAGTAGAGCTAAAAATGACGTAATTTTCAAGCTAATCAATGCATTATGACGTCATGAATTGCATCATTTTCCCCATGTCCCCCATAAATCCTTATAAATTATGCATGAAATGCTTTCGAATAGTTGATGTGTTTTTGACTAGATTCTGAGTTGCTGGGCGAAGCAATGCGGTATTATTTTTTCTTACGGTAATACCTGTTTCTCATTATCATTAATATTGCAATTACATTCTGGTGGTCTTCTAACATAAAAGTACTAAGTCTTTTTATGTTTGAAATGGAATATAGAATAAATAAAGAATGAAAAAAAATCGGAACAGTATATCTATTGGGCCATAAATGCAAAATGTGAACCTAGATCTTTGAACACCTTTTGCTCCAAAATATCTTTTTAAGAGATAATTACTGACATTGATCAAATATATGAAACTATTATTTTCATTAAAGTCTGAGTCATGTGTCATTTCATCGATATGCAAGTTTCCAACAAAAACAACGCACAAATAGTTATATTTTTAAAAAGACACAAACTCATACCCGGAGCACTAAAATGAAAATTCTTGACGTTACTCGATGTTAATAGCATTAAACGAGTACATGTACATGGGGTGTTGCTAAAACGCGGAACGGAACGGAAAACAGAAAATAAATATCAAGGAAGGAACCTTGATTCGATATGAATCAGAAATAAAAAGCAATATTCATGATATTTATTATAGTCATATTTAATGAAAAGTTAACGTATAATATGTTATATTTGTGAATGATGCTCCTCTATTAACATGTACATGTGATGCTCAATAAAATACATATTGTGATTTAGATGTACTAACTACTGTAAATCACTTTTTATTTTCGCGTAATTACGCGAGACAATGCGTTCGCAAAAATTAAATTCTCGCGTATAAAAAGTATTCCTTACGATTATATAGAGGAATAACAACTATTCGTGAAAATTATGTCTCGCTTATAAAGAGTCAATGACAATCTCTCGAAAATTTAGTGATCTACAGTATTATCCATCTGTCAAATCATTTTTTAGAGAATGCTTATTTATAAATAAAAAATCTTGTATTGAAAAAGACGGAAGGAAAAAGACTAGTAGTATATATACATACGCGTGTATCGGTAAAGACAAAAAAGAACTAGTATTGACATACTGGTATACAGATTATGCCGCATACATTGGCGAATCCAGGAATCTTGAAATGAGGAGGGGGCAGTTTGGAGTCGGAGTAGGTTCCCTCAGTCACACACATATATTGGTCACAAAAAGGACGGGGGTCTTTCTCCCCTTTAATCCATGAGTGGCATATGATATGTATATTGAAAAATTCAAATATGAATAGCTGCAACATAAGAAAACACATTTTACTGGGTCATTCACCCCCACTCCCCAAAAATGAAAAACATACTTTAATAACTTAATTAAACGTATGGACGATATATTATTAATTTTACTACAGTTAAGATTTGCCACTCCATCTATCTAAGATGTTAATTGATATATAGGAAGCGACTCAACTTGTATAAAATTTTTAAAACCAGTTTTACAATCGAAGTGTTATCCAGGCTTGTGGGAAAGTGGTGTTCTAATAGTAATCTTATTATAGAAGTTTTTTTTACATTTTATTTTTTTTTTACCAATTATAATGATTTATAAAAATAACAAATATCCCCTTGTTTTCCAGACATAACCTTTATACTATTGAAATAATCATTGAAACCTCCAACACTTTCTGTCTGTTTAAGTAATAGTAGTCAGTAAGTGTAAGAAAATAACACTGAAAGAAATTAAAGCTGTCATTACTTTGTCAGCGCTTTTCGTAAGAGACTTAAAATGACTAATAAAACTTGTATTGATCTTAGAGGGATTAAATATGTATAACATATATCGTTTCAGAGAATTTTATATATTTTAAATGATTTAATCTCAAATAATATTTTCCGTTTTCCGTTCTGTTCCGCTTTCCGTTCCGCGTTTTAGCAACACCTCATGTACATGTAACTTTTCTCAATATAGTCACCATTTAACACAATACATTTCTTTTGTCGCTTTAACCAGTTATAAATATGTGCACAAAATGTTCAGGTTTCATTCGTAAAATAATATATAACAATCTCTGTCTCATATCCTGCAATCCTCCAACCTCGTAAGCCCCGTGGGGATCCGGGTTAGAATAGGTTCTCAGTATCCCCTTGCTTGTCGTAAAAGGCGACTACATGGGGCGGTCCTTCGGATGAGACCGTATTAACCAAGGCCCCGTGTCACAGCAGGTGTGGCACGATAAAGATCCCTCCCTGCTCAAAGGCCGTAAGTGTCGAGCATAGGCCTAGCTAAATTTGCAGCCATTTACCGGTAATGGTGACGTCTCCATATCAGTGAAAAATTCTGGAGAGGGATGTTAGACAGTATACAATATATCAATCAATCTAACCTCGTATAAACTTGAATTTACGAATTTACGGATATACGATTAAATATGATTTCCCGAATGCTTACAACATCTTTTGGTCTCTGTAGGTGTTTATCCGATGTCTACGCAGAATTTTATTACTGCTCACTTCTCCACCTATTCCGAAAACGTCCCTTTTTTGAACAATTCCGAGCCATCTTAAGACCGCGGAACATTAAGGAAAGGATTGCACGGGTCCGTGAAAAAATTCTGCCCAATGAATTTTTCTCATTTTTACATATAACCTTCCTAATGTCAATGATACCATTATATCGAAGTATCAAGCATGGTCATCAGGCTTATAAGGAAGTTATGGTTGCCATGGTAACCACCATTTTTCAATCTTTTGATATTTACGAGGTGAATGTTTTATATTGCCACACACGCAACAAAATTGAAGCAAATTAAATATTTTCCTGCAGATATTTAATAATATGCTTTATATTTATTGAAAATAAAAATTGTTTCGGAAACTATTGATAAATGTAGCAATGCCATTGATTTTGGGGGAAGTATTAATTGTAAATTTGCAGTAATATTTTCAACTCAATAACAGTTTTTAACGTCTAGACAAAAAATTACCCAATGAATTTTCCCAAAACTAATATATGCTGTACTAGTCATTATAAGTGACTTATGGTTAAAATATGAAGTAAGGTAATCAGATTAATTT